CCAGGCCTACTGCCGTACATCGTCACGCGTGAAGAAGTACAGTCAGTAACAGCACCGAGGCTGACTACATCAGGCATGACTGCAGCCATACCAAGTGCAAGTAAGTAAACACTTTTTCCCATCCTTTGGCTCGATTTTGACTGACGCTGCGACTACACAGTGCTTGACATGTAGGCGAAAGTTAGACGCACCTGTTAAGCAGTGCATAGTTTAAGTTGTAATTGTGCACCATAGAAAGAGTGGTCACGAGTAATAGTGGCTCGCATACACCAACTGTGCCCTTGTGTTCAAATAATCCAGTCTTCACTTTTCGTTGGGTTTAGCCTGTATGGTTGCAGGGCAATCAACCTGTGAAATGCGACAGGTAACACTGGCGTCAGTCTGTATAATAAGGCGATACGTATGCCTCGGACGATACGCATGTTGACATCATGAACGCCTTACTTGTACGTTGATGGCTTCAAGTTGAAACTACGTTTACTTGCCTTTCAATATATTTTAAAACTGGTCTGATAACGTTTTGAAGGCCTAGAAGAGCAAATTATTCTTTACGGTAAGTAAAGGAGAAGATTAGTCGAGCACCTGAACAGTTTGTTTATTATTCTGAGCTTCCGAACTCGTGCAGGAGTTTATCTTCAGAAATGGCAGCAGCAACAGCAGCAAAAGGGCGACAATTATAAGGGTTCAAGCCAATTATTTATAAGTGGAGTAAGTCTGGAGGTGACTGAGCAGGGCTCTGTATGCCGGCGTTAAAGCGATTGATCATGGGGTTGAATTCATACCCCGTTTTGTAGTTATAGTCGAGACTGGATGTTAAAATTAGACATCGGCCCAGAGCTACTGTGCACAGCAAGCGGTGAAAATCAAAGACCATCTAAGTCCCAGAGAGGAATCTGGGGTAGTGCATCGCATGCATAAGCTACCCTTGTAATTACGCAGGTCAAACCGAACGCATGCTGAGATCGCGTATACATGAAAATAAGCTGGCTGTGCGACGGGGTGACGAATTATCGCAAGTTGCCTTCCAGGCCTACGAAAATGGACCACGAATTCAACTTCGCAGCTGTCAAGATAATCGCTCACTTGGGAAACCAGACGGGCTGAGAACTGATTGAAGCCTGGTCCATGGATGGAAGCTTAATCAGTCGATGTATCGACTTGGCGTCGGTGTACAGAACCCCGCGCAGTCACCTCCAGGCTTGCGCCACTTATAAATAAGGTGAGGTTGTCTCTAGCTGCCTTATTTAGGTCCTTATGTATTATAGCTACCTACTTGAATTTTTAAGTAGGTTGAATTGCCTGTAAACTTCTGGTTTTCTACACGCCAT